CCGGGCTGGACTCTGCTTCGTCCACGGTGAAAGCCGATCCGGCGATCCACAGCACTAAGTTGATGTATTCCCTCAGCGACCAGCACAGATCAGCTCTAGGCATGACGAAGCGGTTATCGTCTTCTTTTGGAAGACCAAACAAAGTAGTTTCAGTTTCACAACGACGCACACAGCGTCTTAACGAAATGGCTGCAGCGGCAACAATACTACAGCGAGAATAAAAATTACGCCTTCTTTCTTTGCGTGAACATTTGGGCAGCGTTATGCAAATCTTCCCACATAGTGAGGTAGATATGTGGGGGCGTGTTAGAACAAGCCGTTTTAGGTAGGCGTGGCTGACTCTTAACTTTTATAAAGAATATCTCTTTGGATTTGAGACTTTAGTCTTTGCAACTTTCCAGATCTTCTTTATGCACCAATAGCTTGTAACACTCCAAAGAAAAAGGAAAAATTTAAATCGCATCATATGACCCCTTTAAAGGGATATTTTTGCACATAAATTAAATTATGTAATTATTTCATGTTTTCCCAAACCAGCATGACTTAAATTCTTCTGTGTCAAAAATTATTTTTAAAGGACTGAACTGCTCAATGAGGCTTTAACGGATGCAAATCCCCATAAAAGTAGTCTGTATCACTTGTAAAACTACTCTGATTACTGTTGAACTAATATTAGAGTTGTATTGTGGCATGAGCAGTTCTTCAAATTTCTCTTTGTGTGTTCTGTTAAGCTGGTTTGGAGCAGCATGTGGGTTAGTAAATAATAGTGCTGTCAAACGATTAATCGCATACAAAAAAGTTTTTGTTTGCATAATATATGTGTGTGCTGTGTATATTTATTATGTATATACTGTATAAATTCACACACATACAGTATATATTTTGAAAATATTTACACAAATTTACATGTCTATATTCATATAATGTATATTATAAATAAATATATTTAATATATTGTGGCATTACAGATATTTTCCGTACTGCCCCTTTGTTTACTTTGATTTTCTCATAAACAACATATTTTTCTCAAATATATACATGCATGTGTGCATTTATTTATATATATATATATATATATATATATATACACAGTGGGGAAAAAAAGTATTTAGTCAGCCATATACACAGCACACATACATATATTATGTAATCAAAAGCTTTTATTTTGGAGTGCGATTAATCGTTTGACAGCACTAGTAAATAATGACACAATTTTTATTTTTGATTAAACTCACCCTATACATTTTAGCAAGATACCATGACACAATACTGTCTTCATTGCAGCATAATTGAAAAGGGAGAAGAAAGCTGCACAGACCTCATCGAAGCGCACAAGGAGTGCATGAGGGCACTTGGTTTTAGGATATAATACTACCATCATTATCAGATTGAGTGAATGGTAAGTGTCACAAAAATGACTAATCTCTTACAAAGAATATCCTTAGTGATATTTCTCACATTTTATTTTCCACACCTTGGGCACCACAAACTTGAATTTTATTAATGCAATTTTCAGATATCTCCGTGCACAGTAGATTTAATTCAAAGGAACAGTTCACCTCAAAATTGTAGTTTTTGCTTCCACATGTCTTCTGCATGACTGACTTTCTTCTGTGGAGTTATTTATACCATATAGCCAAGCTGTTCTCTTCCATACAATAAAAGTGAATGGTGTCCACAGCTGTCATTTAGGGCTGTTCCTTACAAAAAGCTATTATATAGCTTCAGAAGACTCTGAATATAGTGCATAAGTCATAAGGACTACTTTTTTGGAGCTTGTCAGCCCCTGATCCTCATGATGTTGTATGAAATGATATTCTGCTAAAACTCTCCATTGGTAAATAATGCTAAAACATCCATATTTGAACTCCCTTTATATATGTTTTAAATAAATCTATTCCTTTAAATAAATAAAATCTTCTGTATATATTTTTGAGGACATTTTTTTTTATTTAAAGATTATTTAAAGTTATAATGTTTTCTATTTGTCTTTTCTTTCTTTTTGTAGTTAATGACAACCTGTGTGAAATGGGACCCCGGTGTGCTCGTTTATTTATATTTTTTACACTGCAGGGAAGATTATACAGGGCTGAATTTATTCCTCTAAGGGAAATGTCTGTCTTTTCTTTCTCTTTCTTTCATATGTGATACATTTATGGTCAATAAAGATCCTATGCAAGATGCTAAGCCATTCTCTTTTCTTGTGTCTTCACTTCTTATTTGTATACAATAAGCAGAGATTCTTATAACAAGGCTGGCTTTCTCTTTTTACAGCCTACTTTAAATTATTCAGTCTAATCAACATGTATCACATGCTTGATTTACTTATTTTAGCACATATTAAATTATTTATGAAGTAGTGTCTGCTGACACACTGCAGGCCAAGCAGTTTTGAACAAACAGACTGTCCCTTCAAGCTTCCTACTCGGTTGGCTTTCGAATCCCCTGTACCAGCGTTGGGCTGGTGACAGCTGCACTTAACTATGCAGGCCTAAAATAGAGCTGCTGCTCCCAGCACACTCTAATCTGAGGTCTACCCGCAGAAGCGCTTTTATTCTGTATCTACACCTGGTGTGAACCCAGCAAAAGCAATTCATAATTAGCATTTTCTCCTTTAGTTTGGTCCCTATAGTTTGTCCCTGACACAAACACAAGAACAGATTGCTTATTTAGCTTGTTTCACTATTCCAGCTTATAATTACCTTATACATTTTGATGTTCAATTCATTAAATACAAATGCAAATGCATAATTGATATTTTTCATATATTAAATGTCAATAGTTTTTTTCTGGTTTATTTCTGTCATTCAAACTGCTTTGATGGTGCTTTACTTCAATGAGAATGTGCACACAGTATGTGAGTGAGAACATTTCGATCGGCATGCCTCTGTTGCAGGGTACATGTCAAATTGACAGCTCTGAATAGTAACTTTAACACTCTCTTATCATCTATAACAACTAGTTAAGCTGCACAAGATATCCAATGTATATTGACTGTGCATTTCAGTTATGTTTCCATCTATACAAGCTGTCATGATTAAGAGGTAAAACAAATGGATCTATTAATCACACCACAAAGCAATTTGTCATTGCAATGTAGTTCAATAGAGCATTCCATTTGTGCTAAAACACCACATATCACTGCGCAGCTCTCAAAGTGGATTGTTATTTTTCTTGCATAATTCCCACAATCTGTAATTCAGATGTTTTATATCAAAATAATGCAGTTCCTCATCTACCCTAGCTTTGGTGAATGAATAGACCTGCTCTCACTAACCTTAAATTATCCAAACCTCACAATATGGAAAGCCTCTGTCCTTAAATTACATCCATTTTCCTCAAACAAAGACTTAGTTTTCCTATTTTTCCAGTGATGAAGATAAGAAATTAAGAACAAAATATTTAACATTTCCAGCACCACCAAAAGCGAAGGAAGTTCATTTTCAAATTCTTAATCGAGTATACAACCTTCTGTGGAATTTTTAGGACTTTAATTTGGTTTTGATCATAACAATTGGTCATTTTATGATGAACGTATTGCAAAACTGAGCATTTATTTATTTATTTAATTTAAATGTGCCTTATTTACCAATTTTATGGTTTATCTAAATTAACACAATTAATCTTTGTTCTTTGGTATATTTATAAAAGATGGAACATGCAACTTAGCAATTACTATAATTATTATTCTTGGAAATGTATTTTTACATAAGAATAGATGCCTGAAAACAACCAAATTTCTGTATTCTTGAATGGCAATTAATGAATTAATGTTATAAAATAAGAGTTAATTACCATCTGTGCTTAGTATTTTGATATTTATGGAGTAACTAAGCAATGGCCACTGAAGAACATGCTGTATTGTGAATATGCTGTCATGCCTAACAATGCCAGTTGGCATTTTCCACAACAATACAACAATATTCTCATAACTTCTGCTTAAATAAAAGAAACAGAATCCACTCACTCTTGCACTCCACTGCTAAGCAGCAGAATATTAACTACCAACAACTGCTGGGCCAAGTTATGCGAAACTACAAAAAGGAATGGTCATGGAGGGGAGGTAAACAGTGTTACATGACCTCCCCTGTTATTTTATCTGTCTCAGATTCTCTAAATATGCCCCCCATAGCCTAGTATCCTCCTCCCCTCAAACACCATTAGAAGAGCTGTAATACAAATGGTCTGTTTGATTGTGAGAAAACGAGTGTTGGTGACATCTGGCAGAGCTTTCAAAGATCTTCACAGACGTCAGTGCATGTCACTTGTTATCGTAATCACTCTGCCCGACCATCATTGTGTTATGTTAAGTAGCGAGCCTGTTTTCTGTCTGCGGCTCTTTCCTCCTTGGGTTTCAATTCCAAACATGGTTATCCTTTTCAGGGTCTCTACCCCCGCCTCTCCAGCTCCATGTTTCCAACAGTCCAGTGCAGGACAGGGAACAGAAGCAGAGACGCTATAGGGCTGATATTGTCAAATTCGAAAGGAAAAGTGGGTGTCAACGGAACTGAATGGAATGGAATTATGAAGCTTCTTTCATTCCAACTATTTTTTGGCAGAAAGAGGTGTATTGGCTGTTAGAGGCTGAGGGGAACAATCTTTTTTCATTTATATCTGACATTAGTTTTATATTTTTAACAAACTTTTAACACCTTGGGCTTATGAACCACAACTTTTTCCAACAAGGCTCTTTTTTATATTCAGTTTCCATTGAATTGAAGACCACATAGCCATAAATATGAATAGTGGCGACTCTACCTTGATTGACTCTATAATTTTCAATCACTCTCTTTGCGATGGATGGACGAACAGCACCGAAGGTGCCATCTACCATCTGGGTAACACCATTCTTTTTTTGGGATATATGGGGGGTAGTGGAGCATATGGGGCTCTGTACATCTTCAGCTTTTTGGCTCCCGCTTTCCTCTGTCTGGCACTGTGGGGCTGGTTGACAGTGTGTGCCCTTGATGTTTTCCTCTGGAACTTGCTGGTGATGCTGCAGTGTTTGGCCCAGGTGTGTCATCTGATTTTTCGGCTGATGCAGGACGGTTTAGCTAACGAGGAGCTTTCTGCGCTTTACACAGCGGTCTATCTGCCTCTGGATGTACCTGTGCAGGTGTTTAAGGAGATTACGGCTGCCAGCGAGAACAAAGCGCTCTCTCTAGCGGCTGAGGAGACGTACGCTGTCGAGGGGAAGACACCCATTGATCAGCTGTCTTTTCTTATTTCTGGCAGGTGAGAAACAGAATGTTTGGCAGAGTTGTAGACTCTCATACAGTTCTCCGGATTAGTGATTGATCTTGAACTAGTAAAACTCGCACTAAATATCTGCTCATTTTCCCGAAGGTGTACTTAATGTTTACAATAGCTCGCAATACTAAGGCAACATTCTCAGTTGACCTATCTATTGATTAATTAAAAAAATAAAAGTGATTAATGTATACAGTCCATTAAAATTACAATGGTAGTAGTAGTTGGGGCATAATAGGAAAGGAAAGGACATGACTTGTGGTGTCCCATACTTGGAATTTGTGCTCTGTATTTAACCCATCCAAGTGCACACACAGCAGTAGTGAACAAACACACACACACACACACACACCATGAACACACACCCAGAAGCAGTGGGCAACAAATGCTGCAGTGCCCAGGGAGCAGTTGGGGGTTCGGTGCCTTGCTCAAGGGTCTCACCTCAATCGTGGTATTGAGGGTGGAGAGAGTGCTGGTTATTCACTCCCCCCACCGACAATCCCTGCTGGACCTGAGACTCAAACCCACGACCTTCGGGGTTACAAGTCCGACTCTCTATCCATTATAAAATAAGGCATTTTATGTAAGGGATAATGTACATCCAGCCAGGTTGTTATCTCAGATTATTACACGGCCCTGTGGAATACTTGATTCTGATTAGTCAATCGCGACATTCCGAGGTATGCTATCCCTCGATAACAACCGGTAAAGGCTAATAACACAGGCTCATCCGGGTAACAGCAGTCGGCGCTGTACTCTTGCTTGAACTATTTTTTCTTGGTGGAAGCTTTGCATTTGTTTAGCTAATAAAATATTTAAACTCGATTCAAAATGGTGTACAATTATTTAATTATGTCATCCTGGTATCGCGGACTCGCTCGTTACATACAAACGCAGATGCTGCCATTTTGCTACGATTGTTTTGTACGATGTAATGGATTATAAGAGAACTAACAAACTGGTAAGGGTTTAAAACATTTTCGTCCTAATTATTTTATTGCCTTAATTATTTTTGTGGTGAAATGTTGTGTAATAAGTGGTTAAAATAATAAATAAGGCATATATATATATACATTTAAAATATTTTAATAAAACTTCTTTGCTGCTTAATTAAACACTTTTGTGTGCCAAATCATGTTGCAAAGAAAATAATTATTACTTAGGACCCCTGCAGACCTCATGACTGTCATGTGAAATTTGGTGAAACTTCCCAAAACCATAATTGTATTTTTGAATGATTAATTTATGGTTTTTGTGATATTTACCTTGAAAAAATGTTAACATTTTTTGTATTAACATTTTTTTTTAAAGATGTGTACACTCATATGTATTTAAGGTTAAAATAAATGTTTTTTCTTCCTTTTTACTTGATGGTTACACCGTATTACATTTTTAGTCATTACATTTTGCGATAAAACGGAAGTAGCGACTGATCTTTTTTCTGTATTGCAATGTATTTCACTCTAAATACTGTGCATTTAGAGTGAATTTTCATTTCATGCTTCTTGAAAATGTTACAAATGTTTTTCAAATCCATATTAAACGAACATGAATACAAAAGGTACATTTCTAAGGACTTAGCATTTGTGTTTAAAACCAGATCTTTTGCTTTTACAGGATTAGAGTGTCCTTAGAAGGTCAGTTCCTCCATTATATCTTCCCTCACCAGTTTCTTGATTCTCCAGAATGGGAGTCTCTAAGACCTACAGAGGAGGGCAACTTCCAGGTACGATAACATACTGTTTTTATAATTAGTACCAATGTGATCCGGTACATCTAGGAAACTTCTTTTAGCCTGTGCCATTGAGCAAAATTATTCAGTGTTCATACAACCATGAAATATTGCATCCCCTTAAACTTCCCATGACCCTTTTGACCTCAGGTGACACTGACCGCAGAGACGGACTGCCGTTACATCTCTTGGCGCAGACGTCGGC